ACAGCACCTGCGGCGCGTTGTCGTTCTCGTCCCCGATCAACACACGCACCGACACGTTGCTGCTCAGCGCCGGCGCGCCGCCGTCCTCCGCCACCACCCACAGCCCCACCTCGCGCACCTCCTCGTAGTCGAAGGAGCGCAGCGCGTACAGCGCGCCCGTCTCCGCGTGCACCGACACGTACGAYGACAGCGGCGCGCCACGCACCTGACCCTCCCACAGCCGGTACCGCACGCGCGCGTTCGGACCCGAGTCCGCGTCCCACGCGCGCACCCKCAGCACCAGCGCGCCCTTGGCGTTGTTCTCGGGCACACGGGCGCTGTAGCGCGCCTCCGCGAACACCGGCGCGTTGTCGTTCACGTCCAGCACGCGCAGCGGCAGCACCGCGCTGCTCCACAGCGCCGGCGACCCGCCGTCCGTCGCCCGCACCGTCACGTTGTACTCCGACACCGCCTCGCGGTCCARCTCCCTCGACGTCTCCACGCTGTAGTAGCTGTCCAGCGAGCTGCGCAGACGGAAGGGCATCCCCGCGTCCAGGGAGCACCTCACCTCCCCGTTTGCCCCCGAGTCGCGGTCTTGCACGTGCAACAGGGCCACCACCGTCCCCGATGGAATATCCTCCGGCACCGCGTTCAGCAAAGAGCGCACTGAGATCTCGGGAGCATTGTCATTGACGTCAATCACCGTGATGGAGACTTTCGCCGTGTCTGAAAGGCCTCCACCGTCCTTCGCTTGCACTTGCAGATCGTGCGAGACCCCTTCCTCGAAGTCCAGACTCTTTACCAGCGTGATCGCTCCCGTTTTCGTGTCCAGATGGAATATTTCAGATGCTTTCATTGATATCTTTTGAAACGAAAATGTCACTTGTGCGTTCATTCCGTCGTCGGCATCGGTGGCACTGACGGTGAGTAGGACAGAGTCCAGGGGCACGTCCTCCCTCACACGCACCGTATATACTTCCTGGCTGAACACCGGCGCGTTGTCGTTGGCGTCCAACACGATCACGCGGATCCGCGTCGAGCCTGTCCGTGGTGGATCACCCCCGTCTAACGCTGTCAGCACGAGCTCGTGAAAGGCGGCTTTCTCGCGGTCCAGCGCCTTCGCCAGAAGTAGGTCGAGACGTTTCTCCCCGTCGGTTCCTGTCCGGACGGCCAGGGAGAAGTGTTCATCGCCTCTCAATTCGTAACGCTGCAGGGAATTATTCCCCCTGTCCGGGTCATGAGCCTCAGCCAGGGGAAAATGCGACCCCACTGCTGTTGTCTCGCTTATTATTTCCTCCAGCTGCACTTTTTTGAAAGTGGGCGCGTTGTCGTTAATGTCTCTCACTTCCACTTCGATTGTATAAASCTTCATTTCGCCCTCCACTACGATTTCACAGCGCAGCACACACTCATCAGCAGCTTCACAGATCTGCTCCCTGTCTATCCGTTCCGCCGTCACTAAATGGCCGCTCTTCTCATTTAAAGAAAAATACTGTCTCCTACCTTCCGAAACGACACGGACGCCGCGGTCGCGGAGCGCCGAGAGCTCCAGCCCCAGATCCTTGGCCACGTCGCCCACGAAGGAGCCCTTCTGCATCTCTTCGGGCACCGAGTAGTGCAACTGCCCATACACAAGCTCCCACGCCGCCACCCAGGCGCACCACAGCAGCGCTCGCCCTGGCGACCGGCTCATTGCCTTGTCGTGGAGGCTGCACCGCCGCTCCGCTCCCCCGCGTGCAGAGTGGGTCTCGCAGGGGTGAGCGGGTCTGTGAACTCAGCGCTGCCGRCTCCTGCCGGGAGGCTGCTGCCGCCTTAAGCTCAGGGCGGATCTCTCCGCGAGCCGTGACACGGCGGGCGGGGCGGCTGCATCTCGCCGCGCTTCTCTCCCGCCTAGTGAACAGCGACGCCCGGAGTCTCGCCCGGTAATTGCAGCATTGCAGGTGAAATTTTGCATTCGTTTATTTCACTGTCAGAGGACGCGCAATAGTACTTTCTTTTTTTTTTTTTTTCTTCTTTTTAATTTTTCTTATTTTATTTTTCTAATATTTTAAAAACTACTTACTTCTCACTGTACAACGCATCCAAGAAAAGAAATGCAGTTTTGTTTTTCCGTCATGTCATATGCCTGAGTACCCGCTATACATCCTATACACCCGAAGACGACTTCAGTCCCAGGAACACAGTTCTACTTGCCATGCAACTATGCTGATCTGAAGCGATAATTTGATAAGAACAGCCCTCCTGTCGCTTTCCCTGCACACATAACAAAACAATATAAAAGCAGACCGCATGAGATAGGGGTCAGTCAGACGCTCGTCCCCCTATTCAAAGCACGTTGACAATTCCAGTGGCGAATCCATTGTCAGAAGAATAGAAACCACATGTTCCACCAGCAATAATGCTAATCAAGTCTAAAGACACTACCTCGGGGGAAAAAAAAAAAATTCTTCTACTCAGAAGTAGAAGATCTCAGCCATAGAGTGAGAATCCACCTTCACCCGCCCTTAGAATCAGCACTTCAAGCAGCCCTAATCCCAAGTCCAGAGCCTCCCAAGGAAACCGATTCGCACGTTTCCTGATGCCCCGGGCGACGCTCTATTTCGCTTCCTGCAACGAATCACGAGCCCTTTCCATTGCATCATAAAAGACACAACATTGACGCAGAGAAATGATGCCCACATAGAAATAAGATCTCCCCACTCACTCTAATTCCAGCCTTTCTGCACCAAAACTGCAAGAGCAGATGACGACAGCAGTTTGTATAAGGAAATAGACACCGATCACGATCACAGGCAGTTCTGCCGACACATTCAACGACAGACACTCAAGTTTCTTTTGGAGACGCATTACTGAAACAACATAAAACATCTATTTCATATTCAATTCTATCCATCACGTGCAGATACTTCTTTTTGTCGAGAAGAAAGAAGATCATCAGCACAGAAGGTCCATTACAGTTTCGCAGTCCCCAAGGGCAGAATCAGTAGAACTCATGATATACAAAGAGGAACTAGGTTGCAGTTACCAAGATATACTGTAATGTATGAAGCAAATACAACGTCTGGAACCTTTCAGCTGAGACTACACGTTCCGTTTCTGATRAGGGGAAAGGCATCTGGTTCAACTCCAGGTTTTAGACAAGAAGAAAAAAATATTTCCTCTTCCCTTCATAGCAAATAAATGGTTCTCATTGCAACAGACATACGGAAAGTAAAGAAGGAATACTGCGGCATTAAGAAAAGACTGAGATGCCTACAGATCTATAGTGCATTGCACCTTGGAGGAGGGAAAAGCAGTACCACGTCAAGTCTGAGTTACACGATATCTCATGGATTCTTAGGCTACCAGGACTGAGTGTTCAAATACCCAGGTCATTCACTGTGGCATCAGACGTTTGTATTATTATTGTGTAGGAGAGCTTTCCAAAGGACAAGGATCCACGATCATCTCCCTCCGCGGCCTATTTCCGAAAGAGTTATCAAAAAAAAGTTTATGAAAGCTCTTGCAGCTCTTAAGTAAATAGCACAGATGGAGTATCGTTTCATTACTTCATGCATTCACTTCAATGAGCACCACTGTTCCGTATTTCATACTCATATATAAACGTAAAGAAATATCAGTTGTTACTAAAGTTTGACAAAATTGAACAAACAACGGTTAGAAGAGATTCTACAGTTAGAGAAGAGTATTGGGATCCTCTTTAACTTCCTGAAGTGAGTCACGAGAAAAGGRACCAGCTTTTCCCAGTGAGCCCTTCCCTCCAGGCCAGAGAAGAGAAAATGTTAAAAGCTGCCTTGGAGAGTCGACACCCTGGAAAACAATCAACCTAACAAACATATTTAATGTGAAGATAACGAAGGGAACCAGGAAAAATGTCGTGCAAGAGCTTTGCAATATTATCAAAATTACAATGTAWGAACAAGGGTCATAACAGGATATGGATGGGAAAGAGCACTGGTCTCGTGTTAGATACCTGCACGGCGTCGAGATCCGAGGACGGYTCTGCTGGGGGACAAGTGTTGCTGGGCGTAAGCATGGCGGGCGCGTCCCCGCTGAGAAGATCGTCGACGGCGCGGCTGGGCAGCGGCGCCGGCACCAAAGCGCACTCGGCCACGGCGCGTGCCGGCGCCACGCACAGGTTGTACGAGTAGGGCAAGGTGCCCTCGCAGAAGTCGGCCGGGAAGGCGGCGCCGCCCACGGAGAAGCGCTCGGCGCGCAGGCAGCGCAGCACGGCGGGCGGCCCGGCGCGCCGCAGCC